TAATGTGTTTCACATTTTGCCAATTATGTTCGTATGTCTGTCACATATCTTATTGCATAATATTCGCATATATTTTTAAAGCTCGACCGCAAGTGTATGGCTTCGCACGTAGTATGTGGCAAACAAGGTCGTATCCCAAGAGACCAAATAATTAATGTATCAAGTACTAGATTATGATAGTGTCAACTTTATTTAGATGATCGAATATGAGATGGATTAGTTAAACTAAGAAAATAAAGCAAAGGAAATAAAGCAAAAACAAAGAACTAGCTAGAAAAACACGTAAGAAAATAAATGGGAATGATAGATTCTAAGACTATGGGTACAATTAACAGTTGGATGATCACAAATTAATCTTATCGTTCCTCTCGACATCGATAAAACAGTAGATTAAATCACATATATTACCATCTCCACTCAACACATGCAATTCAACTCCAAATAGATTAAAAGATCTAATATCCTCACAATGACCTACTAATCTCTCGATTCAAGCAAGTAAATTTTGTCAAATATTAATGACCTAATATTGAACTCATCTTTCGAATTAGGAACAATATTGTCAAACACGTAAAAGCATTGGCTAAATGCTAAACATGAAATAAGAGCAAATTATTTGAATAAGGTTCAAAAGAAAAACAATTAATTATAGATAAATCATCCAAAATCCCAACATATTAATCTACTACCAAGTCCTAGAATCAAATAAACTAGACACTCATGTTCGAATTCAAATACATAGACATATTGGAAATCGACATGATAAACAAGAGTTCAAAAGCAAGAAGAAAGAAAAAACTAGGATTCTCGTCGATATTTCAATCTTCTTGATCCCTTCGTAGTTGATTTTCTTTTTCGCTTCCCAATTGTTTCTCTTGTGTGTTCTAGGGCTCCTCTCCTTGTTTCCCATGTTCCCCCTTTCAAAATAGGATAAATATGTGTTTTATAATGTCTAAAATCCTTTTTGTTTTCAAAATAAGGAAGATATAGAAATCAGTCTGCGCGCGTGACACAACCATTCTTCCCGTGTCACTGGCCATGTCGTCACCCGTGTCAGGTTTAAAGCCTCGAAACCTCCCAGTTGAGGTGACACGGCCTTTGACACGGGCATGATGCTCGTGTCACAAATCTACACTCTCCTTTTTACTCTTTTCCCTCGTTTTTTCCATTTTTTTTCATCTGTGCATCAATTTTTCATAATCTCGGGGGTCTTAGGTACTCACCATGCACCTCCAATAGCCAACAGCTATACAAATATGTGAAAATATCTACAAAACAAGCACGTGTAATACCTTTCCAACAAGAATAGAATTAAAGCACAATAATGCAATTTATACACCAATAATGCAATGAATAAGCTCTACATGCTATATAAATATGATGTAAACTCACACATGAACACATAATCTGTTTCGCACTTTATCATATTATCTTCTTATGTCTGTCGCATAATGTGTTTGGCACTTTATCAATTATCTTCTCATGTTTGTCTCATAATATATCACATAATGTGTTTTCGCAATTTGCCGATTTTCTTCATTTGTCTGTCGCATATCTTATCGCATAATTTGTTTCACACTTTATCCAATTTTTTTTCCTTTGTCTGTCGCGTTGTATGTCGCATAATAGGTTTCGTACTTTGTCAATTATTTTCACCTGTCTTTCGCTTATCTGATAGCATAATTTGTTTTTCACATCGTCAATTTTCTTCGCTTGTCTGTTGTATAGCTTATCACATAATTTGTTTTGAACTTTATTAATTACCTTCGTCTGTCTGTCGCATATCTTTTCATACTTTATCAATTATCTTCGCATGTCTATCATATAGTTCATTGCATAATGTGTTTCGCACTTTATCAATATCTTTGCATGTCTGTCGTATAGATTATCGCATAATTTGTTTCGCACTTTAACAATTATCTTCGCCTGTCTGTCGCATAGTATATCGTATAATCTGTTTCGCACTTTGTCAATTTATTCGTATGTCTGTTGCATAGCTCATCGCATAATTTGTTTCGCACTTTATCAATTTGCATAGTGATAAAATGTCTACAATACCCTTAATGAAGGTATAATTTTGACTCTTTTTTAGCCATAAGATTGTTTTATCTGGTGACTGAGATTAATTCTTATTTCTTTCACTGAGCACCATTCTCACCGGAGCACGACCCTATATATATATATATATATTAGAACCAAAAGTTGGATAGATTTTTAATTACTATTGTTAAAAGTTACTAGTAGAAAGTGACATCTTTACATAATTGCATGTTATATTAAATTAAAAGTATATATGGAAAAAGTATTTTTAGCTCATAATATAGTTCCCCTATATAATTAGAATATTGTTTAGCGTGTTTGTTGAGTGTGGAAAAAACATACTTCAAAATTTCAATTATTTCGTGTTTTGAGTGATATATGAACTCGTGCAAATAATATTTTTCCCAACGATCACAATGTCAATGGAGAAGCCAGGCCTAACATGACACTAGTTTTGATACCACCAGTTCAGTTTCCAAGCTGTTGAAGAAACTCAGATTTATTAATTTGCGTAATTCTTTTGGCCAAATTTTGAAAAACTCCGCCTAAATTAATGTACAGAATTATTTAGGTCAAATATTGTGGCTATTACCTTTATTAGTTGCATGATTTAATTTGGTATATGATATATTGATAAAACTTGCGGCTAATATCTTTATTAGTTGCATGGTTTAAATTTGGTATATAATATATTGAAAAAAAAAATAAAAATATTTTATTTAAAATTAAAAATAAAAAAATAATTATTCATAGTAAAACGAAATAGTCAAATACCATATAGGTCAATGTTAACTGGATGAAATAGTCAAAATAAATTTATAATAATTAATAAAACAATAAAAATTTAATACTTATACTTATTATTCACATATGTTGTTAAATATATGATAAAATTTTACCAAAATAACTATTTTATGGAATCACATTATAATCAATTCGAATTTCTGAATAAAATTTTTGAAATGATACTTATTTTGAAATTAATATAGTGGAATTTTTATAAATTATGCGCACCGAACGGGTGTGTACTAATTTTATAGACATTTTTATGTAATTTTGCATAATTTAAAATTTATATAACATTTTCAATAAATTAATATAGGTAAGTTGTATTACATATTGATTCCATATTGTTAATTTATAAATATTATTTAATAAGAATTTTAATTTACAAATACTAATGAATGTCTCTTACCCGTGCACTGCATATGATTCATACTAGTAGACCAGTAAAATAAAATTTGGAATGAGGACAAAATAAAGCATTGTAGAGCCACCATTTGACTAAAACCAGTAGTTTGAATTTCTTTCGCCAATGGATGAGTTTTGCGTTCAGTATATTGGGTTTATATAGAAGTATTTCGATGCTAAGCTGTGTACATCGTTGAAAAAGTTGACAACATGAGTCAACTTTTCAAATTAAGAATGATGACATCAATTTTTAATTGTATAATTTTTTCTTATATTGAAATGTTATTTGTATATAGATATATATATTTTATTATAAGCAAAAGTTGGACATATATTTAATTACTATTGTTAAAAGTTACTAGCATAAATATATAAAAATATTTCGATGCCGTGTATATTATTGAAAGAGTTACCAACAAGAGTCAAGTTTTTCAAATTATGAATGATGACATCAATTTTTAATTATATATTTTATTATAAGGAANTATTATAACCTGAAGTTGGATAGATATTTAATTACTATTGTTAAAAGATACTAGTAGAATGAGACATATTTACATAATTGCATGTTATAATAAAGTAAAGTTATATATGGAAAAGGTATTTTTAGCTCATAATATAGTTCCCCTATATAATTAGAATATTATTTAACGTGTTTGTTGAGTGTGGAAAAAACATAATTCAAAATTTCAATTATTTCGTGTTTTGAGTGATATATGAACTCGTGCAAATAATATTTTTCCCAACGATCACAATGTCAATGGAGAAGCCAGGCCTAACATGCCACAAGTTTTGATACCACCAGTTCAATTTCCAAACTGTTCAAGAAACTCAGATTTAATAATTTGGGTAATTTTTTTGGCCAAATTTTGAAAAACTCTGCCTAAATTAATGTATAAAATTATTTTGGTCAAATATTGTGGATATTACCTTTATTAGTTGCATGATTTAAATTTGGTATATAATATATTGACAAAACTTGCGGCTGTTAGCTTTATTATTTGCATGGTTTAAATTTGGTATATAATTTATTGAAAAAAATTAAAAATATTTTTATTTAAAATTAAAAATAAAAAAATAATTATTCATAACTGACGGACCAATATTAACTTGGAAGTAAACGAAATAGTCAATTATTTATAGTTTAAAAATTACTCAATAACTTACGGGTCAATGTGAGCTTGACGAAATAGTCAATTATTTATAGTTTAATAAATTACTCGACTACTTAATTTTTTTGATTTGAACAGTTTATGCAAAAATAAATTTATAATAATTAATAAATCAATATAAATTTAATATTTATACTTATTATTCACATATGTTGTTAAATATATGATAAAGTTTTACAAAAGTAACTATTTTATGGAATCACATTACAGTCAAATTGAACTTCTGAATAAATATTTTAAAATGACACTTATAATGAATATAGTATAATTTATTATCAGTTATGTGCACCGCACGGGTGTGTACTAATTTTATATAGACATTTTTATGTAATTTTTTGCACAATTTAAAATTTATATAACATTTTTAATAAATTAATATAGGTAAATTGTATTACATATTGATTCCATATTTTTAATTTATAAATATTATTTAATAAAAAAATTTAATTTACAAATACTAATGAATGTCTCTTACCCGTGCACTGCATGTGATTCATACTAGTGGACCAGTAAATCTTGGCACACCACAATTACCACTCCGGCCACTACCGTTTCACCACAGCCACCGCCGAGCCGCCGCGGATGCTCGTATACTGCCTACCGGAGCATCCCGCCATAGCCGGAGTCACAATCACACACAGACGCGGGAGCATGTTCGGCTCTGCCAGCTGGCCTCCATGCAGAATCTCTCTGTGTGCCCCATCTCCCGTTGCCCGCGCCATCCCCGTTGTCGGCGTCATCCCCGTCGACCGCGAAGTCTCCCGTCACCCGCGTATTCCCCGTCGCTCTCGTCGTCCTCCATCGCTCGCACCGTCCCCTGTCGACCGCACCTCACCCGTGCCTCTTCTCTCGCCGGAATCATGTCTGCCCGACTGCCTAAGCGCTGCTGCACATGCGAGCTTCAATGGAGGCATTAAGAAAAAACTGAAAGTCGTCGAACGTCGCCGGCCGGAGTATACATCGACGCCGGAAAGTCGCCGGCCGGAGTTGCTGTCGGAGCAGACGGATGATAGGGTAGAAGATGACATTTTGAGATTAGAGCTATTTTTTTTAGAATTAGATAATTTTAACGGACTTGATTGAAATTTAATAAATTTTATTATATTTCAATTTGATACATGTGCTAAATCTATATTTTATAAAAAGTTTAATAAAATCATATTAGCGATAAATAAAATGTAAAAATATATTTTGTATATTCACATTAAATATAGCTACACGTTGCAAGTGCGCTATATTAATAGACGGAACGAACATTAATACTAACATAAATAGTAAAAATTATTATTTTTTTTACATTTTAATATGCATATATATTAAATAAATAAATAAAAATGAAAATAATATAAAAATATTAAAATAATATAAAAATAAGAAAAAAACGTGTGAGTATGATAGACCGCACATCAGCAATTGAAACACTGCACATTATTGTGATACATATTGCACATTAATGTGTGCCAGACTGCACATTACCGATCAAAACTGAACTAACTATGATTTTTCTGTCTGAATTTATATATTTCTATTATTTTTAAAATTTAAGATAGTTTGACTTTGATGTCAACTATTTAAAATTTTTATATTTTGATTATTCCGATCAAAATTGAAAGTGCCGAGCTATATGATAAATAATATTATTATGATTTATATAATTTTATGTATTGCGAATGCACATGATAATTATATGAATTGCACATTAATGGCTATATAATTTCACAATATTAAAAACCAACCAACTAAAATTTTTCGATTCGAAAGTCTATATTTCGGTTCAATTATTACTTTTATTAGTTTTATACTTATAAAAACTCAGTAATGCACTTTATAAATCATCACGTTGCACTTTATAAAACAACATGACGCATTTTATAAAATAGCACGATGCACTTTATCGCGGCACTCAGCAATTCACGTCGATAACTCTGGGCAAAATAACATACAACATAAATCGAAAAAATAGATATACATAATATTTTAATATCCATCACATCATTTGTCCATAAAAAAACACAAACAGGCTAACGTACCAAGATCTTAGTAATTTGATTAATCGATCGAATAATATTATGTTGTTGTATATATCTTATAGGTCTTTACCACCAAAACAATATAAAAATATTAAACGACATTAAAATGTTAAAACACTAAATATATTTTTATAATATAAATAAAAACAAATATTTCTTATATTTAATTTAATCTGATTAATAGATCGAATAAACCAACATTTAGGTTCATTTTTATTTTAGTTTGGAACGACTTATTAAAAATACATACAGTATGAATGCACAATAGTGTTAGACTAATTGGACATACTAACGTACCAAAATTACAACAATTCACTTGACACGTCAACACGTTGCACCTTATAAAATAAAACGTTGTACTTTATAAAATCATACACTGCACTTTATCAAATTGCATAATAGAGATCGGAACCGACCGAACTCAGTTTGTTTTCAACCATAAATAATATAAAAACTAATAAATAAAATTATTAATATTATTAAATATAATTTTAATATAAATAACAAATTATTTCAATTATTTTGGTTAATTTAGTTAACCGGACAGAATAAACTAATTAACTATGTTCATTTTCAATTTGACTTGGGAAAAGAGTTCGGTTGTATGATACCCTACAGGTACGCCATTATCTGTATTGTGCTAATTGTATGAGTTATTAGTATTAAGCAATATTTCCTTGAGTAATTTTATTTTACTTTATTTTATTTTTGTTTTTTATGGTATTATTAGATAGTAATAATAAATGAAATACATATCTATATTTTCCCTATATTATTAAAATTTGTGTACAAATTTCTAGAGTATTTTATTATCCATTAATATCTTAGACATCTAATAATATAGTTGGTTTGGATAGATAAAACTATGATCCTCCATTTAAATACATACATATTTATATAAATATGTAAAGTGCTTACCTTTTAAAAAATAACTGGTACGTTCTATATATATGTGTGCGTATATTCTTGTATACGCGAAGTTGTGGTATATATATATATATATATATATATATATATATATATATATACTAGAAAACTTTGGTTGTGCACAACACAGTCGGTCCAGTTTGTTCGTTGATTTTAAATCTATTATAGTTAATCAATATTCTGACTTTGATATTGTGAGAAAATACTTTTTCATGAGGACATTTCATACATATTAATGCATTACAAATTGATATAAGTATTCAACATGCAAGCTTGTCAAACTATGTTCAAATGAGTCGTGACCAATTGTCAAAAATGGAAGCAAAATAACTATTAAGTTGTAGGACATGCTATGGAAGCAAAATGTTAATTAAGTTGTAGGAATGCCATCGATCACGATCTCACTGTACAATTTGAAACATTTATTCATAGATAGTGTTATAAACAAAGTCAAATGCAAAGGTCTAAGTTAGTGTACAAGGGTTATTCAAAAGTTGAAAGCTCGTGGTGCATAGTTTTGTTTTAGGGTAAGGCTACAATCCTGTTACAGAACCATTCCATTGTGATTTGTAACCGTTAGATCAACTATTATTGACGGTTACTTGATGATCTAACTGTTATAATCCCAACGGAATGGTTCCGTAACGGGATTGTAGCATTTTCCTTTGTTTTATTTAGCATTAATTAACTGGGGAGTATTTTTTAGAGGACTTGGAGTAGTTTTTTGTCAGTGTCCATGTTCGTGAACAATGTTGAGTATATCATGAAAGATGAGATACTCAACTAAGTGGTTGGATAAATCATTTATCATATTGAAAATAAAATTATTGTAATCTTAAATTCTTGAAATGAATTCCTCAACCCAAACAAATTTTAGCTCGGACTCTCATAAAAACTTCAACTTCTTAGAGAACAAGTATAAATGATAATTATAGAAATAAAAAATATCAAAAAACTCTTCAAATGTAAATCAATATTGTTTTATTTCACAAGGTTCATTCAAGAGCTTAACACACATATAACTTACCAACTTAATTAATTTGAGTAACTGTGTTTTAATACTTTACAGTCGTGAAGACTTACATAGACATGGAGAATAAATTTCAACTTTAAAATGAAAACACGGTCATGCACTTCAACCATGCAATGATCTATTCATCTATTGACTGCACCCATCTAAAGTTGGACCAAAAGTCATACTTGAATACGTGAGAGAAGTTAGCTGTCCAAACAACATAAGAAGTTTAAAAATCAATAGACTGCACTATTGATTGGCCAATCTAAGCAAACATATTCCCGCCCAACGCTTATCTAGCTAAAGCCCATTCATGAGCAAAAAGACATATCGACACCTATATCTTATCACCAGAAAGTGTGTATAGAATAAGCACTTCTCATTGGCCTGAATGACTAACATGCCAAATGAAATCAAGAATAAAGAATTATGCTGAAAGACCTACATCATATTAACAGTAATTACACTCAAGCCGAGCGAATCTATTAAAGCAAAGCAGCTGATTTAGAAATTCTTTTCCCGCCTAAAGAAATGTATTAATTGTTGTAATTAAGTTGTCCTTTTAAGTAGTATTTATCTAATTTTAAAATTACTATTCACTTTCAAGCATTTAACTATAATAAATAAAGTCCATTGCTTGTGAATTGTGATTAAACTCTTGGATTCAATGCATTGGGACTTGGGCATAATAATGACAATCCTTCCTTCAAATTTATCACCAAAACGTTACTTATACAAATTAAGAAAATGATTAACAACATCCATTCTATCATCATACTATTTATTTTCTTCACCTTTCAAATTTTTATATTATCAGTTGGAAAACAATATATAAAAATTAAAATGGATCATAAAGATAATGAGTAAATTGGACAATTATGCACACATATTTTATAACTCATTAGTTATTTATTAATTCCACAATAATAACCAAATTATTTTACAATAATTGAACTTTAAATTTATCTTTATTATAATAAATTATGATCGTGATTCACATTTCTTTCAATAATATAAATAACATTCAATGTATTTTTTGGATATATTGAATTTGATTTTCAGAATTTTTACAATTTGTTTAATTGAAAATGTATATTATTCAAACTAATAAAATAACATTTTACAAAAAAATATAAAAAAAATGTATATTTTAAGTTTTATTCATTATATATTTTTCTAATGCCACAATTGATTACGTATTATATGTATTAGGTTATGGAACTCAATATAAATAACATAATTTAAATAAAGTTACTCATACAATTGTGAAAACCAAAGTAATAAATGAAACAGTGCAATATAAATATTTTCTTAGTATGAAATAATATGGGTGTATAGTTATTCATATTTTTATGGAATATAATATCCCACTGGTAATACTTAGTTCTCATTATTATTATTATTATTATTATTATTATAATTAAATACTACTTCTATTATCTAAAAATAAATTTTGTCAATTTACGAGTATGGTATATCATTAAAACAACGAGTATAGTTGCATGTTTAAGTAAATAATTATATTTATGCATAATTATGCATTAAGACTTACACTCCAATATTCATGGCTTTGAAAATAATTTTTTAAACCGTTTGTGGATAATTCAAACAACAAAAAATAATTATTTGCACAAAGACTTAATTCAAAAAAATAACACGTTTATCATTATAGATTAGTTTAAATATACTACCATTTCAATCACACATATGGAGTGCAAATAATACATATAAACTATACTTTAAGGTGATTAATTATTTTAATATAAAAAAAAGTATCAATGGTTTATCACTTGAAAAAAATAGCAATGCTTATTATTGTGATATTTCTCAAATATGCAAATATCGATACAAGAGTTCATCAATCTGGTTAATAACAAATCGCAAACTTACATAACCAAATTTTATATTTTTTTTTTTACTTTATAATTTATTTTAAAAAAATATATAATAGAGAGAGAGACATAGAGATACAATATAAAGTTATATTTGTCATAAACAATGTAATCTATTCAACTAAACGGGAGGATTTTTTAAAAAATAAAATATAAAAGTATCATCTACGGGTATTGGGTACTAACATGCATATCATATAAAATGTTTCTCGAAAATACTGAATAATTATTTAATTTTACAAAACACTTTATCTGAACTTAGGTTGCTTTTATTAATATCAACTAAGAATATGAAAAAAAAAATAAAAAAAATAGAACAACTTAGAATCGAACATAACATTAAAATTTAATTGGGGTAAAAAATACATAAATATTTCAGAACTAATATTAAAAAAATATAAATGATAACAAACAAATTGAGAGAGTTACAGGATTTCAGAGAGGTGCAACTCATGTATTTAATTGTAAAATAAAGAGAAAATTCATATTGGTTTTAGTTTGATTGAATATGTTGTTTGACCCAAAAATTAAAAAAAAAAAAATATTTATTTTTTTTTATTTTTAGTTGGTATAATTTATTTTATTTTTGTCAATTTGACGAGGCCAAATTGACGTATGATATTTTTATGAATAAACAATAATAATACAATTATAATTCTTGAAAAATGCATAACAAGTTAATTTATTATTAATTTTTTATTCATATATTTATATTATTTTTTATTCGTATATTTTTTTATACTTTTATTTTTCTACTTTTAGATGGACATTTATTGTCACATTTTTTATACAAAGTAAAAATTAGATGATTTAATGTTTGAACATGACTTCATAATTTGGTTTCGTTTACGGGTAAGAAATAAGCTAATATTGTTGAATGATATTGTGAAAGAAACAAAATGATGACAGAAAGAGCGAGGATGTCTCAACTATAAAGGAGAGAAAGAGTGACGATATGTTTTGGACTGTAAAGACTGAATATGACAATATATATTTTTCATTAATTATTTACCGCGTTTTACAATGGTTCTGGTCCTAAATGATTGAATAGTTTGAGCCCAAAATACATAGTTTGTTTAAATTATTTTATTTTTAGTTTATCTCATTTGTTTCAGTTAAGACATAAATTTGAATTCATATAAAAGTTTGTGATTAAAGTGATTGCCTGCATTTTAATCTCTTGATTGATCCACAATTATGCAATTGTAATGTTTTATGAATAAAAATAACATAATGTATAACTATTGTGAATTTTTTATTATTATACACATGTTTTTCTTCTTAAGATAATGACATGAATATATTATCGCTACTGAATCTTTGCAAACTACAATAATGCATCAACTACTTTTTCTTATCATATATCATAAAAGCTATTTTATATCGAAATAAAATTTACTTTTTTATAATTTATAAAATATAATATAATTTTTTTTCTTATCATTTTACAAATATTCTATCAACGTAGTTCTAAAATTTATATTAAATTCATTCTGTGTGAATTACGTGCAATAAAAATAAGTAATTTGTTATTCAAATGAACATTTGCTATTAGTGTTCATATTTATAATTTTGCAATAGGTGATTCATCTTGCACGTAATTCTGATTACCATCGGACTTATTTTGCAAATAAATGAAATTATAATTTATTTTCTCAATAAAAAAAAAAAATGAAAAGTATGTGCACCTAATTTAAAACTAAATACATGCGATTCGAAATTGAGTCATTTTTTAATTTTTTTTCTTAAGTATTTATTTTTTATTTTTTAATCTAAATTAGCTCATATTTGTACATGTTTATTTAAGTTATTCTATATCAGTTTATCTATATAACAGTAACAATGACTTTAGTTAAACACAAATGAAGAAAATTATGTTATTATCAAGAAATTTTTAGGAAAAGTTTTAAAGAGTGTCATTAATGTGAGAAAATACTAATTTTCATTGAATATCACAAATGTTGTCAGAATCAATTATAGGTTATTTTTTCTGTAGTCACGGATCCTGTTATATGTTATTTTTTCTGTAGTCACGGATCCATGTTGTCTTAGGATTATTATTTATGATGATAATGGTAATAATGAATACATTTCATTCACTAATAATGTTATATTTAGATAAACATTTTAAAATATAATGAGTAAAATTTTCAGCATACTTTTTATGATCTCTACATATGTTTTATGATTATATTTTATTTATTAAAATTATAATTTAATAACATCATTTTTTAACATCAGGCCGCGCAACGCGCGGGTGACGTACTAGTTCTATAGTATCCATCGAATCACACGACCTTCGTAATAAAAGTTAGCTCTTAAATTTTATGACAGTTCCAAAACTAAATATCTGTTGAACAAGAGCACATGCATACCTTAGATTTTGACAAATAGTTAAGCACACATTAATCGCTATTACAAGTTCCATGCCTAATATAATACTCAAAATACAAAATATATGATAAAAGTAACCACATATCTTTCGCCAGATTGCTAGATGCCAACTTGAGCAATCAATGAAGCATTGAATGTGAAAGATACATTTTGGCATGAGTTCAAAAATTAAGGAAGTTCCTGCCATGCATAAATAAGGGAAGTTCTTGTTACCTAAATTAGTTTATATTATGTTTGATCTTATTATGTATTTACGTGTTATAGGATATCGGTTGAGATGGGAAGAGAACTTCACGCAAGCGGGACATCACGAAAGATAAGGAAGAGTTTGGATAAGTAAGGCAAGTGAATATTTGGAGAGAGAAGAAGAGTCCTTTACATGGTAGGACTTCTTGGATATACCAAAGAGAGACCAAGGATCGTGAGAGTCTAGGAAATCATATAAAAACCGATCTTGAAGATTGAAGGCATGCGGCTGAAAAAAGTGCAATTGTTCATCATCTTCAAGCTTCAAGTTTCTTGCTTACATTTTTATTTCACTTCGGTTCAGTTCTCGATTGATTTGATCGACGAGGAACTGAGACCATTTCAATTGTATTGTTTTCGTCTACTCTGATTTGAACATTTTGATTATTTACACTTAGGGAGTAAGTGTGAAAAGTAAGACCACGGGACGTGGCCGGAGAAGTAATTGATAGGCTAGATCATAGTTGTGGTTAGAATATAATGGAGTTCTATTTTGTAAATCCAAACTATGTATTCAATAGTTGTCAATGAAAGAGCTCTGAAGGGAAGTGGGATGCTTCCCTGAAGAATTTTTAAATCTTTGGTTATTGCTTCCGCAAATTGTAGTTTTTATAATTGTTCGTACAACGTTGAGTGCACTCGGGATCATTTTATACGTTTCAGAATGGAGAACTAATTACCAAGCCTCCATGAAATACTGTCCAATGGGCTGTGAAATCCATTCATGCAATGGATTATCCATTCCACTATACAGAACAGTAAAAAAACTTGCGTTAGAAGCAGAGTGAAAGTGCTTATTCGACAAGCCTTGTACTCAACTATACTTAATTATACTTTATTGTGCACAATATTTGGTATGAACTACCAACAAAACAATTATTTAAAACATATATAGTACACGATATTTGGTCCAACATAACAATTTTGGAAACTTAAACTTACAGAAAACGAATTAGTAACCTTAACGTACCTTTTAATGCTGCTATTCCAATTACCAAGTGCGCTATGCATGACCTACGGGCTAAGAGGTACCAAATCCACTAACTAATTGTGGTACCTTCAAAAATTAAACGTAAATAGGAGAGTAAGAAGTTTACCTTTGTAATTCTTAAAATTGGTGAATATCATCTCCAGAACATAATAGTTATCAATGGTGTGCAACTAAATTAATCCGTGATAAGTATATAGCCTAGAAATCTATGCATAGAAAAGTGTGTAATATTCTTAAGATACTCATTGTATAACACACTCGAGATCCCACCATTTAAGACACATTTCAATAAATTAACACTTCCAACCATTTGAAGTGAGTCTAAAAATTTATCCCAAAAATATCAGGATTTCAAGGCCATCAAAAAATTCTAAACCCCATATAACAAGAAAAAGAACTGGTAAACTTAGTGCTAGACAATTACTCATAAATACCAAATAAATAAATTAAAAAAACTTCATTTCTTCTTCTCTTTGTACCAGATGCAGGCATTTTTTTTTATTATTATTTTTTTTTTAATGTTGAATTAACAATAGAGAAAAAACAATACATCCAAAATACAGTTTTGCTTTCATGTCCAGTAAACCTCGAAACTTGAAACGTCTACACATCCATTAACATTTAAAATCGGTTGAGCCGCACAAAATTTGTTAATTGGGAGTTAAATTAAAACCTAATGGAGGCCAACACGAACCTCTTCAAACAAATAAGACATTAATGGAGGCCATTAGACGCACGAACCCTAATAATTTAACCTAAATTATAAAAGTATTAAAATTAAAAAAGCCAACTTACCTAAGAAATAGCATCGACATCGGAATCGGCTCCTCTTTGAGTCCATAGACTCCACGCCGTCTAGATTTGATACATCGGTCCATAGGTGACAAAAATTGCACCGTCGTTCACGCGTTCCCGGTCGAGCCAGCCGCCAACAGAAAAATGGACCTAGATCGGAAAAAAAAAATCCAAAAGAATATGAAATAAGGACGGTAGAGTGAGATTTAGAGGCTACAAACATCGGTCCAAACGAAAGATTTTTTAAAAAAAACATAAGAGATTTGAATAGAAAAACGAATGGCAGATAGAGATTTGAAGGGAAAACAAATTGGGCGTAAAAGGTGTTTTGAGGATTGCAAATGCACAATCCCACGGTCGGACAATAAACAGTGGCAAACGACGTCGTCTTTATGGCAAAACGACACCGTTTTTTAAGGAGGCGACGTGGCTTATTTAGAAGATACTGGACAGGTGTCAAAAAATTAGGGTAGTGCCTCTTTTTTATAGATAAGAGAATATATATATATATATATATATATATATATATATATATAAGGTTGTGTCAATGAAGTCATTTAACCAAGCCCAAAGGACGGTCAATGGTTAGAGTGAGCTATTTCAAAAGCATACGGGTCACCCAAAGGTGGACGTATAATCTATATATATATAATTGCTAGTTAAGCAATAAATTTTACCTAATAAATAAAACCTAATAAATTTTACCTATGTGGCAAATCATTAATAAAACCTAATAAAGAAAACCTAATAAATTTTATTTATGTGGCATTAATACACCTAATCTCATTAATAAGAAAATATTTCATTACATTTTTTTGGGTTAATTAAGACAAAAACCATTATATTTTATGTTAATTGATTAATAATTATATTTTTTATTGAATAATATAATAGTTAATATTAAAATTAGTAATTATATTTTATACTAAATAATATATGAAAGTTACATAAAATTATATTTTACACTAAAATCAATATTTTTTTATATGATGAAGATGTTGTTTATTAATAAATTAATTTTTTTTATGTCATAATAAAATTTCTTAAAATCACATAAGCAATTGTTATAATAAATATAATATTTTTCAGCTAATTAATTGATCATGATCACTCAAAATTATAAAAAGTATATATTTATTGCATTTTATGCAATCAATATAGTGATTCGTATACAATCAAATTGTGTGTACTATTTATTTTAACCAATGATCAAATTTTAAAATATAATACTATTATATAATTTATAATTTTAATATTATATACATAAATATAACTTATAATACTATATGTTTGAAATATAATACAATTATATAACTTATAATTTTTATATTATATACATAAATAAAACTTATAATATTTAATTTTATTTACATCTGTGCAAATGCACAAGGTCGAATACTAGTTTTGGTAGTAAACTTAGGACCAATTAATGAGTTACGCTTAAAGTGCAAATAATTACGATATTCCCAAAGGAAAATGTTGTTCTTATTTTGCGCTGGCCAAATGATGGGGCGACTATTAAATAAGTGTTGTTAGGGCAGTATGTTAGTTAATGGGAGTAATCCCTCCTCATACGACGGTTTGACTGTTGACGTCCACACTCAGTGGCCTGCGGGGATTCGGTGTTTTGAGGAGCCGGTGAATTTATTTAAATATTGTTTCGAAGGGATCAATATTTAATGTTAGATTCGAAACACTTGACTGAGTAAAACTATGTTTGCATGATCCCAGGAATTCAAAATGTCTTTCAATCCGTTGTTCGTAATTCTCAAAGATAATTTACCTGTTCAAACATGATTAGAAATAGAACTTGGATAGTGTCTTATTTTGCTAAGAAATACAGGCCGAAGGGCAAGTGTATCCAATCTAAGCAAAATGGACATAAGAAGATGAATTGTTCTATTCTTAAGACAAGAAAGGCAAATCTTGTTCACTAGAAAGTCGGAACATTTTTAGTGGTCTATCAGTACCTGATGAATAAATATGAAACCACTAATTATGTAAAAAGGTTCCAGGAAACCAATCGACATATGATGGGTAGATTACCATCTAGAATAGGTTTTGCTACGAAAGTGGTTACTATTGCAGTGGGAGTTTTCTATAGAAATTTTGGTTTATGAGTAATTGTCTTTACGTACCAAGTTCTAGAAAAAACTTACGTCAGTTTCTAAATTGTGTATGGATGTTACGTTTGCTGGTTTGAAAAACAAAACATTTTATCCATTTGGTACAAGGTTGGACAGTTTGTAAACTCAAAGGGACCAAAATATCTCAGAATGAGTTTTCTATAGAAATTTTGATTTATCAGTAATTGTTTTTACGTGCCAAGTTTTAGAAAGAACTCTCGTTCAGTTTCTCAATTGGGTATAGGTAAAAACGAGATGTTTTATTCATTTGGTACGTGGGTAGACAATTTGTGAACTCAAGGAGCCAAAATATCTCACAGTGCAGTAGATGAAATAAATAGCACATCGACTAGAACCAATAAGAAGAAAGATCCTTCAATAAATGAATCATACATTATTTTGGCATCTAATGTTTGTGAATTTTAGCGTTAGTAAAATTCAAAGGTGGATAGCTACTAAACTTATGGATTCTTTGGGAATGGATGAAACTATCAGACCTACGAATTATACTTGGTAGTAAACGTGGCCAGGTGCCGAGTCCGGGCCCGGCCCGGCCCGGCCCGGCCCGCCGGGTCCACGGTCCTCATGGACGAGGCCCGGACCCGGACCGAAAAAAGTGACGGTCCGGGACCCGCCGGTTTTCGACCGGTTCGGGCCGGTTCCGACGGTTCCCGGTTTATTTTTTTCTTTTTTTTTGGTAAATAAAAAATATGTTGAGATGTATTACCGGTTTTGATTGATCGGCGGTTCCGCCGGTATAGTGTTATTTCGTAGGAGTTGCGAAATTCAATTTTACTATGTTAGTTAAACAATATCTTGATTTTCATCAACGTCATCATGCAATCCGACTCCAATACACAGTCTCGAGTAATATATCCGTTCTTTTTGTTAGCGGCCTCAAGCATGTTACTTAACAGAAGCTGTTCCAAGTTATCATCGTTGGCGTACAAGATGTTGATACAATTATCCCACAATTCCATAAGGGTACATACCTTTTCACGCATCACTTGTACAGTTGGATAATGCTATCAAATTAATGTTAAATGTTGATGACTCAACTGCAACTTTATCATTACATTATTTTGCATTCCTCTGCTCGACGTTAAGTAAGAATTCAAAAGATAACTAAGTATGTATAAACGTTCTATTGTTTGTGCTATAGCAGGCGAAATTTAGAATTGAACGCATAATACGTAATAAAGAATATTGACATGACATCACAATTCCCTTTTGTTGTTAATGTTTTTGAGTTAATATTTGAACTTTAGAAGATGAACTCAAAACATTAACTTCATTTAGGACAATGATATCAGGTCAATATTCTCCATTACATATTATGCTGTCAATGCTAGATTACGCCTGCTATGGCACAAACAACAGAACGTTTATACATATTTAGTTATCTTTTGAATTCTTAGTTAACGTCGAGCAGAGGAACGCAAAATAATGTAATGGTAAAGTTGCAGTTGAGTCATCAACATTTAACATTAATTTGATAGCATTATCCAACAGTACCAGTTATGGATGAAAAGGTATGTACCCGTATGGGACTGTGGGATAATAGTATCAACATCTTGCACAGCAAAGACGATAACTTGGACAACATCTATTAAGTAACATGCTTGAGGATACTAACAAAAAGAACGGATATATTACTCCAGATTGTGCATTGAAGTCGGATTGCATGATGACGTTGATGAAACTCAAGATACTGTTGAATTAACATATGTATTTGAGAAAGATGTTTTATAACGGAAACGATTGCGAATCAAAGTCCCCTTATATTTGTGTTTCAATATTAGGCATTCGTTTTAAGTTTCAATATTAGGCATTCGTTTTTTAAGGTCGTGATTCATTGTGGATTTCAGTTCTAAGAATTTTGAAAAGTTTATCAGTTAGAGTTGAAAGCAATAACATCAATTAAACCGTTTATGCCACGCACACATTCTCTCATTGTGGATGCTGTTTCTGACTCTCTCATACGCCTACAATACAACAATATAGAGATAGTATACACAAACAAACTTCAACAAACTTCAAGTATTGAAGAATTTGTATGTCGGCCTGTGTCGTAGAACTCTAACTGTTATATTGTAGACGTATGCGAGAGTGAGAAGCAGGATCCACAATGGGAGAATGTGGACGTGGCATACTCGATGTAATTGATGTTATTGTTTAAATTTGTGAAAGATGTTTTATAACGGATACAATTGCTGTTGACATCGGTTACGGGGTTCTTAAATGTTCAACAATGATCCAACACAGCAAGAAAGCTACAGTCTTTTCCACACACACTAAAACTATTAGATTATTGTATCAAATTATTTTTAGTGGTGTGTGAAAAAGACTGCAGCTTTCTTGCTATGTTGGAAGACTGTTGAGCATGTAAGAACCCTGTAAACGACGCCAACTGCGATTGTCTCCGTTATAGAACATCCTTCTACTGATGTAATTTAACTTATTTTAATTGATATTTTAACTAAAGGATTAAGGTGCCTACGTATTAGTGGTGTGCCAAAAAGTCCAAGTACTTTTTGTTAATTTACTTACAACTCAAGAAATTCCAAAAATTGACTAATAACATCAATTACGCCAATAACGCCACGCCCACAATCTCCGTTGTTGATATTGCGTCGCACTCTCTAATACGTCTAGAATACAACAACGGAGATTGTGGAAGGGGCATTATTGGAATAATTGATATTATTGTCTGGATTTCTGAACAATGTTTTCTGAAAGATGTAATTTAACTTATTTTAATTGATATTTTAACTGAAGGATTAAGGTGCCTACGTATTAGTGGTGTGTCAAAAAGTCCAAGTACTTTTTATTAATTTACCTACAGCTCAAGAAATTCCAAAAATTGACTAATAACATTAATTACGCCAATAACGCCACGCCCACAATCTCCATTGTTGATATTGCGTCGCACTCTCTAATACGTCTAGAATACAACAACGGAGATTGTGGACGGGGCATTATTGGAATAATTGATATTATTGTCTGGATTTCTGAACAATGTTTTCTGAAAGATGTAATTTAACTTATTTTAATTGATATTTTAACTGAAGGATTAAGGTGCCTACGTATTAGTGGTGTGTCAAAAAGTCCAAGTACTTTTTATTAATTTACTTACAGCTCAAGAAATTCCAAAAATTGACTAATAACATCAATTACGCCAATAACGCCACACCCACAATCTCCGTTGTTGATAT